TGCTATTTTCCTCTCTCCTTTATGTCCCTGTGTCACCTGCCATAGAGGCGTCATCATCCTTCACATCAGAAGACACTTTCCAGGTGCCTTTGGGCTGAGCCTGCTGCCCCCCTCAACCATCTGCTCCCCCAGACCACTCAGACCCATCTCCCAAATATTATTATCTCCATACGCAGAGTAGCTGTGCTTCCCTCCACCCCCCAGCCTGCTTTTTCACACCATCCTTTCCGCTTCCCAGATGGTCCCCCTGCCCCTAACCTTACCCTTGTGCCACTCCTCCCTCTGCATCGCTCACAAATATGAAATGGCTCACAGGAGAGCTGGACTCTGACCTGCCAAGCACTGAAAGCCCTTCTGCAGGTGTCAGAGAACAGCCTGGTATCACCAGGGTTAATTCTGAGATGCTATCAGTGCAGCTCCTGCCTTTTTAACAACCCTTGACCCTTCACAGAGTAAAACAAGCCAAGAGATAAATGCCAGACTTGTTGCTTTGGTGCCTATGTTGAATATTTATCACCACAAACATTATTTATCACAGGAAGAGAGATCAGGGCATAATTCCTTCCTAATGAGCCATGTTCAACTGACTCCTGATAGGATCTGAAGTGTGGAGTCCTTTTCTCTGAAATAGGTTTTTTACCGCAGCTGCCGAGCTGTGCCGGTTCTCCCCCGGGAAGGCGCACGCCGCTGCCTGTCCCGAGGGCTGGGGGTTTCACAGGGAGATAAATGTGACGCTGCACTGCTAACACAGCTTGTTGATTGCTTATGATAACCAGTGTTACTGTCTTTAGCAGAGATTTATATCCTGGAGCAGAATATAGTCACCAAATCATCGGTCCCGGTCTGAAACCAGGAGACCTAGCAGCTATGGTGACATTTCTAGGTGTTGCTCCTTGGATCCGGTCTACGTGTTGCTCAGGAACAGTGGGAGCCCAAAGGATCTCTTTAGAAGGCATCACGATCTCAAGGGATCCAGCTCTGGCTTCCATGGGTCCTCAAGGGCAGCAGAAAGGGGCATGTCCCCTTTGTGCTAAACAGCACAGAGGGACCAGGACCTCATGGCTAGGAGCCAGCCACGGTCATAAAGCACTTGTTCCTCTTGTAGCCCTGCAGTATTTTCCTGGATGCCCCTGGGGAGTCCCCAAGGGACCGGGGCACCTTCTCATTCAGTGCTGAAGCTGGTGACTGTTTTGTTTGACAAGTTTAATCTCCACCGGAGATCAAACTTGGGCACCTCTGTTTCCTTGTGAATCTGGACTCAGAGGTACCCCAGCCTTAGCCAGATTTAACTTAATTTCTGGCAATCCAGGTCTCCCCAGTCAAAAAACCCAATTTTAGGGGACTGATGTGGGGACATACAGACTGTGAGAGCCTGTGAGATCTGCCAGCAGGGGACAGGGAGGGACAGCGGGAACGGTGGCAGCGGCAGCAAGTGGGTCTGTGTTTGTACAGCACAATGTATGCTCCTCCACCGCTGGGCACTGCTGCAGTCCATATAAGCTAAGGGAAAAGGAAACCTCCTTGATGCAAAATGCCCACAAATCCAGTGTCCCTCCCTTCCAGCCACGCAGGGATGCAGAAACTACTGAGTCACTCCTGTATCAATTCTTATTTATAAATGGCGTTTGCATCTGAGTGTAACTCGCATCGCTCTTTTGGAGGGAGGGAGGAAGGTTAATTCCCAGTCAGAACAATACAGGGAATGATCTTTCTGTATACTTACTGAAGCAGTGGTTGTGCTCTCCCCAAGATAAGCAAATGAATAACAAATGCTGTAAGATGGTAAGAAAGTGAATCTGTATTCTTGGCTTTTTATTATGGATGACCCAAGTTCAGCTTCATACGTGAGCCTGAATTTTTCATTTCAAGCAGGGATCCAAGTTCTTTCCTAGTTAAGAAGGGTATGGCTTCTCCTGATGCCGCAGCATACATTCAGTGACTGCTAAACACATTTTCTGAGAACTCACAAATAAGCCCCTTAATGAGCTAATGAGTTAAAATGAATGCAAAAATAGGAAATTTCAGAAATGTCACACCTGCCTCAGATCATATATAGTTTTAGCCTGGTTCCCTCAGGAAATGAGATCCATGGAGTCATTCAGAGTCTGGCCTGCCTGGCTGCCCTCTTCGTAATAACTTCTGAACACGAGTTTCACTCAAATTTGACAGAGTGGAGATCTCAAAGATACTATCAAGCTCCTACAGGTTTAGTAAAAAGAGGTGATCAGGGAGAAAAGCCACAGCTGTGCCATGACTCAGCCTGCACCAGGCAGGAGGCAAGGCACAGCCCCATACCATAAATCGAAAGGAAACCTTCATTTGTCCTGCTGCTCGCGCAAGTCTGTGTTTTTATCCCAAGCGATTTCAGGCCAGACTTGGTTTATTTATGCTAAAACTGTCAGAGAAACTTGAGAGCTGGGGTGTAGGGGGATTTTTTTTTTTTCTTTTTAAAGAAACACTGAGAACATTCATCCCATTATTCACCAGGGCAAAGCTTTCTCCATAGGCACAGCCTGAAAACAAACAGCCTCCAGAGACGCTTGCTCAGCCCTGCCCTTTCCTTTGGCTCTCACCAGGATGGAGGGGTGAGGCTGCCCTCACTGGATCTGGCCCCTGCCCCTCCCGGCCATGGGGCTGGGAAGCATAAGGTTTTTCACTGATTTTCTCCTTCTTTCGTCATTCTGGGAGGACAGGGAGGGAGAGCTGCCTTCGCTTGTCATGATTTTCCCCAAGAATAATTGCTGGTGCTTTCTACTGTCTGTAAGCTGTTGCATGCTCTGTATTTCTGTTGTATCTTAGATGAAGTGGTGGGTGTTTTCTGATTTCTCTTGGGGTTTTTTTTTTTTTTAGCTTGTGCTGTTTTCTCATGTATACATTTTTTTCCACTAGCCAGTAGGATGATTTGAAGATATTTACCCTAAAAGCACTTCTCCCTCCCCCTACACGTTGCCTCCAGAAACCCTGGTACAAGTGAGAAGGAGTTTTTAGCTTTACTCTTCCCAAGTTTCTGGCGGTCTGTATATTTTAACTGCTCACTTTTAGTTCTCAATGGACAGTCACAGGAACCTAAACTTCATTTCCAGGACAAACAGGAACATTAAGAAAACACACCCTTTTAAAGAGATTACAATCTGAGCCAAGAGATTGCCTGAAGTGTCCCAGGCTTGAATCCAAACTTCCTGCTGGAAGCTGTGGGCTGAGCTCTTGCTTAGGATGCGCCCAAGCTGGCAGAAAGAAAGTCCCCCCGGTACGTGGCCACATCTTGCTCTCCTTTGCTCAGCAACTGTCATTTCTCCCTCTGAGACTTTTGGTGTGTGTAATTTCCCCTCAAAACCACAATTTCCTATTTTCTTCAACATGTTCTTATTTTTTCAGATATCTTCCACAGCCAGTTCTAGATATCCTCCATAGCTGGAGACCTTGGAGTCCCCATCTTGAGTTATGGGGCAAACTCACTCTCAATCTAGGCTTTCTGGGTTTTCCCTGCCTCTTGGTCTGCTAGGATCTCCACCAAAAAAACCTGCATAGCACTCTTATCATCTATCTCCTCCTCCTTCCCTCTGATCACTTCTCCTACTGTGTCTCTTTGTGCTGGTTTTGGCTGGGATGGAGTTTATTTTCTTCACAGTAGCTAGGATGGGGCTGTGTTTTGGATTTGTGCTGGAAACAGTGTTGATAACACAGGGATGTTTTCGTTATTGCTGAGCAGTGCTGACACAGAGTCAAGGCCTGTTCTGCTTCTCACCCCACCCCACCAGCGAGCAGGCTGGGGGGGCACAAGAAGCTGGGAGGGGACACAGCCGGGACAGCTGACCCCAACTGACCCAAGGGATATCCCACACCATATGACGTCATGCTCAGCATATAAAGCTGGGGGAAGAAGGAGGAAGGGGGGGCATTCGGAGCGCTGGTGTTTGTCTTCCCAAGTCACCGTTAGGCGTGATGGAGCCCTGCTGTCCTGGAGATGGCTGAACACCTGCCTGCCCATGGGAAGGAGTGAATGAATCCCTTGTTCTGCTTTGCTTGCGTGTGCGGCTTTTGCTTTACCTGTTAAACTGTCTTTATCTCAGCCCACGAGTTTTCTCACTTTTACCCTTCCGATTCTCTCCCCCATCCCACCGGGGGGGGAGTGAGCGAGCGGCTGGGTGGGGCTCAGTTGCCAGCTGGGGTTAAACCGTGACACTCTTCTACTAGAATGTCCCCAGCTATATTCCCTCTAGTGCATCCTGCCCAGATGGTCCCCAGATGAAGGGCCGTGTTTCCCACAAAGCCCAGACCTGGTGAGTGTGACTAAGGTGGGCAGGAGACATGATGCTGCCCAGCCTGTGAGCCATCACTAAGGTGACAGGGAGAAGCAGCAGATTCTTCATTGCCATGGTAACAAGATGTTCCACACTGTGCAGTGGGGCAGGATGCTTTGTGCTCCATGTGTCTGGCCAGACCTTGGAGGACCACGGGGATCCTAACTTTGGTGCTTTGTAGCTGCTCAGGTGAAAATCCATGTGGAGGTGGATATATTCTGCTCTGACTGCTTGGAGGGGCGACGGGAGCCTTGGAGAGGAGACCAGAGTGAGGTGAGCACCCTCCAAGCTGAGCCTGAGCGCTGCCCCTCTGCTTTCCTCCTAGCACAGCCAGCGTCCCTGCCTTGGGACCTGCCAGCCATCTCCGATTGGGAACACCAAGGGGGTGAGATCTGCAAAGCTCTCCTGCTGGACCTCCCTGACCCACGCACTCCTCTTTCCTGGGTGAAGTAGTCTCCCCATCCAGCCTGTGTCCAGGTGTTGGTGAGAGGACCCTCTCCTCTCTTCCCACTCTGCCAACGACCTGGGCAGAGGATGTGGCTTCCCAGTCACAGCCAACACGAGCAGAGATGGCCCAGTCTGACTCTGTGGTCTCCACCAGCTCTGCTCACCACAGCCTCACTTCTTGCCACTTATTCCTACAGCTTCTGGCATTTTCTCTCCTCTAAGCACATAAACAGCCTCAGATCTCCCTGTAGGATGGTCCCCAGTGGGGCTGGGTCCATCCACATGCCACACAGGTTCCCAGCCTGCTCCAGTTCCCAACCCTCCTCTCTCTTCGGCTGCAGGCCTGTTTTTTGCAATGCCCTGAAATTCCTCAAATGTGCCCCCAGCTTTTTTCTCTCTTTCTCTGGCCTAGGCCTTGTCTTCATCCACACAGAGAGCAGCCTGTATTCACTGCCCTGCAGCCCTATTGAGATGGAGGTGGCTGATCCCACCTACCGCTGGGTGCAGGACAGGGCAAGTAAGGTCCTGGCTCCTCTCAGCTGCACAGTCAGGAGCAAGCAGCTGTGATGGGCTCTGCTACTGTGAGGCAAGAGAGGGGAAGGAGGGGAAACAGCCACCCAAGGGAGGAGCAGGTCTGTGAAGCAGGTGAGGGGCACATGAAGTCTGGGATCTCATGAGATTGCATGTGTTGGGGGGTGCTGAACTGCAAAAAGAACACGAGGTTATGGAGTAATACTTACCCCTTTTTCTGTCCTAATAAGGTCTGAGAGGTTTTGTTAAGAAAGTTTTCGGGCATTCGAATGATTCTTTTGCAGGTAGCGACATTTCTGGCAGAGGAGAGGGCACTGGCTTTCTTAATTTCTTCTTCCCTCTCCCTCAATAACTTACCAGAGAAGGAAGGGGAAGAGCAGCTTTGGGAGTCCTTGCAGAGTCTCAGCAGTGGTTTAAGGAGACCAAATCTGGGGAAGTCCAGGAGAGCATGACACAGCCACCCAGGAACTGGGCCAGCTCAGCACGGGACAGCCAGCTCCTGGCGATCACCGTCAACCCCTCTGTCTCCTGCACTAGCCCCCAAGTTGTTCTCAGTCACCAAAGAGGGACATCTCCTCTTCCAACACTTCCAAGCAGGTGACAGTGGGAAGTACTCCTGCACTATCTCCTACATGAAACACGGGGTCCCTGTGTCCCAAACATTTCACTACAGCATCTTTGGTGAGTCCAGCGCCATGTTAACAAGCAGGGGGGCCAACCCAACAAGGGCAGGAAGGGTGGAGAGGCCATGGGGTGCGCGGAGGGGTGGGACCATACTCAGCTCTCCGGATGAGGGAGCTCTCTCTTGGCAAGGGGGAAGAACCAGGCACCTTGCAGGGTTTTCTACCACAGGCTACCATGTGCTCGGAGGCCTGGATGCTGTGCTGCTCTTCCACAGCAAGCTCTGTGAGGATGAGAGGACCAAAAGGTTCCTGTGGGGTCTACAGAATAAGCTGAGGCAGCTGGAGATGGAGCAGCACTTCAAACTCCAGCTCACCGCCACCTTCTGCTTCCCCTCGCTCAACAACCCTTCAGATGAGTTCATCATCCAAGTACAGCTAGAAGGTAGAGCCCCAGGCAGAAGCATCACAGCAGAGTCCCCAGGGGACAACGGAGGCGGTGGGGTAAAGTGAGAGGAGGTCAGGCATCGCAGTTTGTGCTTGCAGGGGGAAGAGGGAGGCAGCACAGGGCTGAAGGGGGGGTAGTGAAATTAGGGGCTTTTGGAAGACAGTGGTGTCTAATGGCTAGATTTGTTCAGGGCTTTGCCCATCTCCTGCTGGAGCTGGGGCTGCCTGAGCTGCACCGGTGACTCTCCATACTCTAGTGTCCCTCTTTGGGCCCCACTGGGATGAACACTGCAACTCCCAGGACATGGAGATGGTCACAGACTGCTACCGCAAAACAGTCCGGCACAACCTCGGGCAGGTAAGCCCTGGGGCCAGTGTACCAGCAAAGGAGGGAGCATGGCACAGGGGGTGTGTGGAACCGGGAAACTCTCTCCAGGCCCAGGTATCTTCAGCAGTGCTGGAATGAAGAGGAGCACCCCTGAAGGTTTGCTCAGTCTCCCTGGGGCCCAGCTAGAGCTCCCACTCAGGCTGGTGTGCAGTGCCTGTCCCCCTTGGCTCACGCGCCACAGCTCCCGCACTGTGGTACTGGGAGGACATTTTCAACAGGAGCAACAAGGTCTCAGCTTCCCTCTTGGACCCCAGCATTGCCCTCCTGAGCTCTTCCTGCTCTGCCCTCCCCAGGTCCAGCTCGCCCTTACCAGGTTCTTCAAGGAGCACAAGTCCTTCCACGTCACTGGGGCTGATATACCCAGCATCAACTTCACCAACAAGTTTGTCAGCTTCTTAAAGACCAAGCAGTGCAGCGGGGGCTATGGGCAGACCAAGCAGCTGCAAAGATGTCTCGACTGTTGCAGTGAGCCAAGTGTCCACAGCCCTTTGGTCCCCTTTCTTCT